GTCTGTCTGTCCCACTTGATTGTAAGTTACTTGAAGTTAGGAATCATGTCTTATTTTTGGTTCTCCAGCAACTACCTCATTCATCACTTACAAATTAATAAACGAACAAAAATAGACAGTTTAATATTTTCTGGTGGCCCCATATCATCATTTTGAGCATTAACTGCAATACGTTTTTACCTTTAAGACATTTAATCAATTTAATCACTAGATTTCAGTCACTATGGCATCAATACATTTCACCTTTAAGACCTGTTGTGGTGTCCTTGCCTCTGGACTAAATAGCCTGATTCTTAACTTCTTGAGAATGTTTTCTTCAGTTTCTTTATATCTTCTCTCCTCCTACCAGGACTAAGCTATTAATTCTTGCCAGCTCAATTTTTCTATCAGTAATTTTCTCTGTTGTTTCTGGGGAAATTAATAAAAGAAACCTTAACTAAATTGGAGTCAGGAAGACCTGTACAGGTAGCTCCCACACCCTATCACATATCATCAACTACACCAAACAGGAAGAGACAGAAGCTTGCATCTTCCACAGGAAGTAGAACTACTTTACTACTGAAGGAAGGAAGATTTCCCTCCCCACCCAACAATGGCCTAGCCAATGAGAAATGCTGAAGTTCAGCCAATAAGTCGTTGTCACCTTTAACTGCTACTTGCCCCCAATGGACTTTCATTTAGTATATTCCCTCCTTACTCCCCCATTTTCTCTATAAAAGCAGCTCCTCTTAGTTCTTTTCTGGATTTGCCTATGGTTTGCCATAGCATGCACATCCCACATTGCAATTCTTTGGGGTATTCTCATATAAATTCACTTTCAGATAAAATAACAGGCAAATTTGCTTTTTAAATTGATATTTCTCACCTCCTATGCTCTGAGAAATCCACAGATGACTAAGCTTAATAAATTCAAGTATTTTCAATAAAATAACCGTAAATAGATTCTGAGTGAGGATTCAAGCTCTTCTCCGAGAACTATGATGCTCAACCTGGGGTGCCTAGACCTCTAGACAGAGGGTTTGGTAGTTCAGATGCTGCTGTGTTTTACTTCCTTGTTCTCAGGCAGGTCAGGTAGCATAACAGAGTTGCTGAAGTACACATTTCCTTTCTATAATATACTAAATAGAACTTGATCCTAATTTCTTGACTCAGTTATTGTTACTCATGACAATATTTAATGAATTCTCTGTGGGTACGTTGAAAAATTAATTAAATTTCCCCTATTATGATCTATTGTCAATATGGCTTCTGCTCCTTCTTTCAGATCAGTGACACAGTCCAAACCCCATCCCCTACCCTCCGTTATCACCACCACCACCACCATCACTATCAAGATGCTTAGAGTTATTGCCTCTATATCTTTTCCAGATTGAAAGATTGTTTTAGCCAGTTTTCTTGCCTTATCTTTTTTTTTTCAGTGTAACTTTTACTGCTACCAATGGTTCTGTCTCCTCTCTTCGTTTTGTTCCCCTCCCCCACCCATCCACCACCACCACCATGCTCTAATAACTTAGGGCTGAACTGAAGTTTCCTAAAGAGCTGTAAATATTACATGGGAGCCTGGATAGGCCCAGCAGGAAGAGAGCTTCGTATGTCTTCCATGGAGTACCATTCCAGGATTTTTTTCATTTGAATATTTTTTAATAAGTGCTTAGGCTTAGCAGTTTTTTTGCTTTGAGAATTGAGTATATACATCAATGTATATCATATTGACTATAGACGTCAATATACATCATTTATGGATTCAAGAGAATGGCATTTTATATTTCACTAACTTTATAAAAGAATAACAATACTACCTTCTCAATAAAACCATTCCGCTGCTCTCAGTTGGACATATTTTTTCTTGCTTTGAATCCTTACATGATAGCACTTCACTAATACTTGAATAGATAATTCTTACAATCTCTTATTTTATATAATTTGGACATTTATTTTATCCTCCTCCCTGAAGTGATTCCAAGTAATTTAGGCCAGGGACTCTGACTTACTCATCTTTGTAGTCCCTGCAGCACCCAAAGAAGTGAAATAAGAGGCACTTAATAACTATTTGAAGAGTTGAAGAGAAGCACTTGACACTCATAAATGCATAAAGTTACTTTATTTTAAGTATACATTTAATTTTGAAAAATATAAATGCTAAAATATCTCATCTTCTTCATCTCTTAATTCCATAAAAGTCACAATAGAAAGCTTCATAAAACTGTAAAATACTATAATGTTATAGGAATTTTAGGTTTTATATTGGAAAAAAATTATTAGTAATATATTGAAATGTTTTCTGTTCTTTATCATTTTGTTCCACCATGTTGATCTACTTCATTTAAAATAAAAAGATGCATCATTTCTCCAAAGTTAATAAAGACTTAAGAGAATAAAAATAAGATTATCTGAAAGTGCGTATTGATTCTGAAAAGTAATGTGTACGGATATGTACCAGCCATGAAAATGGCTAAAAAGAGGCAACTATTCACTCTTTTCACATTGTAGGACTGGGACAAAGTTACTTCTGGCTCTAAAAGTCTCACTGGATGACTTTAGCCCTGAGTTGCAATATTTGCCTAGAAAACAAGAATTCAGCATTTTTTTATGTACCCATAGAGCACAAAGAAATCAGCCAAGAACTAGGACATATCCAAATTTCTGGTCAAAACACAACTTGACTGGTTAGCATATACCACAAAACATTTTTATTTCAGGCTGCAATGAAGCTCAATGAAATCATCATCTGAAAACTCCCAAGGCCCTTCAGATAGTCAAGTGCTATAAAATATCATTTGATTATACTCAGCCACTTGGTGCTACTGGGCTTCATGCTCACGCTGTGAAGAGCAAATGTGAAATATCATGGAATAAATAAGAAAATCTCAAGTTCCTGCACCAAAATCATTAAGTGGTATGAAAAGGATTGAAGAAAGCTTTGTCCCATCCCTGAACAATGTCAACCTCAGTAATACAACTCAAATGGTTTTGTTTTGCTTTTTAAAGATAGTCAGCAGTCAATACATTTCAAGTACTTTAACACAGTTAAAAAAAAAAAAAGAACCAAAAACTTGGAAGACAATCATTCTCTGTATTAAACACCAATACATAGCTGATAAAAGATTTACTCTGTGTGTGTTGGTGCATGTGCATAAAGTATACACAAACTGAATGTCGCTGGCAATTACTCCTCCCCTCCATCCTTTGAGGTGGAGAGCTGATTAGAGAGGGTTTTGTTTTCTTCTTTGAGCCTCCATCCCCCTACCCTCATTCCACTGCTTGACTGGAAGAAGAAGCAGGAACGCTGCTGCCGACAGCACAAAAAATACATAGGAGTCCAAGTCATTGTTTCACATAATAGAGAAGAGTGACTTTTATCAAGGAAAATAGCGTCTCCAAGAGATTTTCTCTCAAAGGCAAAACCAAAGGCCTTTATGCCCCTTTGACGAAGCAGACTCTTGGCTAGTGATCTCTTCCAATAGTAATTTTGTACAACAACAGGACGTCTAGGTAACATCTCTGAGTGGACACTTAGTCCTGTACTTCCAACAACTTGAATCTTAACTCCATATTCACATCAGGGAGAAACACTCTGTAAAAAAATGTACCATTGTATTCTATGTGTCCAGTTTACATAGAAACAAAACCACGTAAAAATCAAATTAGTTCTTAGACAATGAGTAAATTCAATTAAAATACAGATAATTTGGGGGCTGGGCCAGTGGTGTAGTGGTTAAGTTCGTTCACTCCACTTCAGCAGCCCAGGGTTCATGGGTTTGGGTCCTGGGCACGGACCTACACACCACTCACCAAGCCATGCTGTGGTGGCATCCCCCATACAAAAAATAGAGGAAGATTGGCACAGGCATTAGCTCAGGGCCAATCTTCCTCACCAAAAAAAAGAAAAAAGAAAGATAATTTGGTGTCTCCGTATGGACCTCAGGTTCTGTTTGTTTGGTAGCTACTTCTGTGCCTTTGAAAGTAATGATTTTTTTTAAACTTCCCTGGGTTCCAAAATATTGAAAGTGTTTGATATTAACTGTTCCTTTTAGTAAGGTAATATCTTCATTCACATCATGAATTTCAACCTCTGTCACAGAACAGGTTTCATAAATGCAGGTGTAGATAGCTTTTAGATCTGCTCAAAGGCTGAAATACTGGGTTAAGTTGCTTCAAGAGTTCTTTGAAAGGGACGGAGAGGGGCATGAATCCTCAAATACTTGATTCATGATCAGAAAAATAAATTATTATATCTAGAGCTTTCATAAAAGTGAACAAAAGTGTCTTTAATTTAACAAGATCATAAGTTCGGTTGAACTTACTATGCATGACTTTTAAACATTTTATCGATGCTTCCATCAGTTAAGAAAAAGGAAATGCTTCTTATATATTTCTATATTAGGGTAATGAAAAGCTGGATAACATAGAGTAATCATTTTAAGGAAAGCTCTAAATACAAACATGATGCTAAAATTTGGCACGTGAGGTTTTAACAAATAACATGTAATTTGCCACTTGCATTTTAATGAAAAAATTGCAGATCATTTACGTCTAATTTGTATAAAATCAAAAGTTTTAAGATTATCAGATACTATAAAAGTAACAGCTAATTCAAGATAAACTTTTTATAATCAAAATTCCAAGAGAACAGAATTATAATTTAATTAATATAAGAATGAGTGAGAGTGAATATGTGCATGTTATGAAACCAAAATAAGTGGTTTCATTCTGCTTCTAGTACTCTTCCAACAACCTGTTTTAGCTAGGATATATTGCAAATATGGTTATACGAATCCAAAATTACAGATTCAACATGTTAAAATGTCATTTTAAGGCAGATTCACAATACATAATGCAACCTATTAAAACATTACACTTAAATAACATGCTAAATTTGGTAAACAAAGATCTAACTTTCTTTTTTCTAATTTTCAATATGGTACTTTGAAATACACATACACATATATATATACACATATATATTCTAAATGTTCCAATCACAAGGAATAATTGTCTTTCCATCCCTAAGAAAAATGTGTGAGTATTGCTAAGATGTATACATATATAGCTCTGCAGATTTATCTGCATTTCCATAAACACTTTATAGATGTGCAAGTGATCTATTAATATTCCTATGGATTTTGTATTGTAAATATAGGCTATTGTATCAATGATGGTGACTGATATCTGGGTAATAAAATATATTTACCCTCATTTGTAAAATGGTAAGTCTCTTGGACCTCTGTTGGATTTTTCATATGTGGTTTGGATTTTATGAAAACTGACACAAGAGGCTGGATAACTTTGTCCTTTGCCTGCTGTCACTCCGTCTCTTTCTAACTTTGCACACATGTGCACCAGCCACACACAGAGTACATACACAAACACACAAATATTTCAAAATGAAAAAAATGCCTAACAATACTGCATAGGACATTGACATGGTAATACAATCAGCATCTGTGCCCGGATATTACTATTATCAAAATGTCAGTTAATCCCATTATATAGGAGCTTCTTCCTTCTCCCCCAGTCTCCTTCATAGAACAGTTAAATTTCTTTTAAAGAAAGGGAAAAATGGATGCTTAGAAACATGGTGTTTTTAATCTGATCTAGCCCTCTGGCTTACCCTAGAGATTGTGAATTTGTGTGTGTGTATGTGTGTGTGTGTATATGTGTGTGTAAAAATCACATTATATACAATACAATTTTTACAGAAAGCCTGGCAGCTACAAATAAGAGGTAGAACTACTCAAAACTATGTTTCCTGCTGCAGGAAAAAATTCATTTTCTTTACAGTAATTAAAAAAAAGTTTAAAAAATTGACAAAAAATAAGTTGCAGGTTAGGCCCCATAATTTAAACAACAAAATCTAGGAAGAAAAATATTCTTCAATGTACTCAACAGATAAATTCATTAAAGGGTTAAAAAAAGTTGCATAGGAAAAAGGGACATTCCAGCACTTGCTACAATGATGGCGATAGTTTACTACAGGGAGTAAAGTACCTTTAGTTTTTCTTCTTTTGATAACTCTAAGATTAGGGTTTACAAGCAAGAGCAAATTAGAATAGCAGCACTTTTTCCAGTCCTGGAGAGCTCTAGAAGCAAGAAGGGACTCTGTCTGGAGTCAAGGTTTGTTCTACCAGACAGAAGGACAAGCCAGTAAGCACAGCTCCAAAGCTAAAGTTGTAAGTTCCTTCAATATTTTAATAAAAGGTGTTATAAAATCCTGAATACTTTTGCCCTCTGCTTAATAAAGGAAAAGGACAGAGTCTGTGCATGTCTTGAGTGACAGAGGAATTTGGTTGTCAGAGGACACATCTGAAAGTATAAGAACACAAAGGGGATTCTTCAGATGTTCTTTTTAAGGAACGGTGCACTATTGTCTTGATTTTACCTATGCAAGAGAGAAGAAGCAGAGAGAGCGCTGTATTATTTGGCCAGTGACCAAAAACTAAAACAAAACAAAAATTAAAAAATACACAACCAGACAAAAAACAAGAACATTAACAACAAAAACTGTCAGTTTGAAGAGAGACAAACAGGTTACAATGTAGTTTCTGTTCCCTTGCTCCTCCAGAAATAATCATTGTCTTCAGGCTCAAGTTCTATTCTAATTTGAGGCACAACTTTTACTGGAGTTCTAGGAGGACTAGAGAAAAAGAAAAGAAAGAAAATAGTAAGTACATGAGACTTCCTTTATCATCTGTCAAATGTTTATGCACTGAACAGAGGCCAAATGTGTCCTTCTGTTTTCTTTAAATACTCATCTCCTCCTTCTGTATTAAAAACAAACGTTTTTAATGGGATGAAGCTACCAATAAAGTCAAGAAATTCAAGCACAAATTTCATAAGCTCTCATACCTAGATTAAAAAAAAAAACCCAAAATCAAGGACTGCCAGGTGAGGGGTACTGTCAGAAATTAAAGGACAAGAAGACTTACACGAAAATATTCAGAGATTTCACTTTTTTGAAAATGAAGAAGGATCCAAAATCTCTAGACTTGTGTTAAGAGGCAAGGAAACTACTGGAGGAAAGTTGTCAGGAAATGGGTTACCCCTTAAATCAGAGATGATAGTGAAATGATAAGAGCTAGCATTGATCCTGGGCTTTACCTTAACGATACTGAAAGATTCCAGTACAGTCAAGCGCCACGTAATGATGTTTTGGTCAACAACGGACCACATAAATGACAGTGGTCCCATAAGATTAGTACCAGATAGCCTACATGTGTAGTAGGCTGTACCATGTAGGTTTGCGTAGGTACCCTCTATGATGTTGGGACAATGATGAAATTGTCTAACAACACATTTCTCAGAACATATCCCCGTTGTTAAGCAACGTATGACTGTATTTCTAAGAGTAAGTAGAGTAGCTCTTAGAATGCTTTCTACCAGTAAAACCAGGGCAAGGTTTGGTGATTGGGCAATTTATTTAAGATAAATTGTAGAGAGGAAGAAGAACAAGGTGTTTTGCCAATAACCCACCACTGACTACATTTCTGTAGGGCAAGCATCCCAAAGAACAACGTAAAATGCTGGGCTGTGCTTTACCTTGGCATACCGAGTGACTGAAGGAAAGGAATTTTATCAGCACGATGTGTGGCGTTCAAGGAATGTTGGTGATCTTTCTCCTGGGGGGAAAAATGTTTTAAAAGCATAAATAGTAGTCTCTGGTAAAGTATAAAATTAGAGTAAAACTTAAAATCTTCACAAAAATGGATGCATCTTTCACAAGTGTAAGGAATAAGAAAGACAAATTTAGACAATTTAAATAAACATTGTATGAAGTGAAGGATCTAAGTAGTGGGATGATGCCAAAATCACTTAGTTCTTTTCACTCTAGGTTTCTGGGATGGATGATCGCTGTTTTTCTCAGTGAGAGGGGAAGAGGTGAATCATTTGTATAAGGTGATAGCATTGACTTAATGTCTAAAGCTTGCCCTTGGATTTCCTTCCATCTTCAGCACTCACAATTTTGTCCTCTGTTATTCAAGGGAGAAAAAAAAGATTTTTGAGGAACTTACTTACACTGCAACTCTACTATCAATTTTGTTCTTTCACGGATTATAAAGAATTAATATGACATTATAAAAGATCTCAGAATGATCATGGGTATTTTGCTTAAGTAAATTTCTAATATTATATCAACTTTTAATGTATCCTTTTAAAGGGTTTTTGAGAGAATGAAGAACTAGTACTAAAAAATCAATTTGTCATAAACTTTCTCCAGGAGCCTCAAATTCTAGCTGTGATTTTTGCTTTTCTTTTTTTTCTTAAGCAGCCTATAAACCATACTTAGAAGGGCTGTAGCACGTTATGATGCCAAGGGATGACATATGTGCTGTGTTCCTTTCACAGTCTCCTCTTGCTATGAATGTTCTCAAGATGAAAAATGAAGCCAGAACATAGTCTAGGAAGTTCGAATTCAAAACGGAAGTATTAAGTAAATCCCATGGATAAGACTGAGAAGAAACGAGCCTCAGTTATAAGCTGTTGGTTACAGATTGGACACTAAAGGCAAGACTGCTTTAGTTCTTTATTCTTTAAACCCAGTGTGGTAGCCAGCCTCCAAGATGGCCATCAACGTGCCCTGCCTTCTAGTATTCATATCCTTCCCACATTATACCAGGGTTGGTTTGCATGACCTATAAAATATGGCAGAAGTGATGGTATGTCACTTCTGAGATTCAGCTATAAAAGACTGAAGTTTCTGTCTTGGTTTTTCCCTCTGTTATCACTGGCTCTGGAGGAAACTGTATTATGGGCAGCCCTGTGGAGATGCCCATGGGCCAAGGAACTGAAACCTCCTGCCGACTGCCTTGTGCATGAGCTTGGAAGCAGTTCTCCTGTTCCAGTCAAGTCTTCAGACTTGATCTGAGTCGAGAGCTTGACTGCAGTCTCAGGAGAGACCCAGAGCTAGCTAGACTCTGACCCCAAATCAGCTCCTCCTAAATTCCTGAATGTCAGGAACTGTGGGAGGAAACACATGTTTGTTGTTTTAAGCTGGTAAGTTTCGTGGTGATTTGTTATATAACAATAGATAACTAACATACTCATTTTTCGTAAATAGTCATTCATTTCAAACCCTTCTTGGTAACCTCTTATGGAAGCTGAAATGGCATTGTCAAATGGAAATTAAGTGTCTCAAGTGTCTTTTTTCAATAACAGACCAATATACCTTGAAGTGCATCTGGATCTAAAAGAATACATTTTCTTCAAATGAAAACTCAAAGTGAAAGCAGTTTGGAGGCAGTTGCTACTTGCTAGTGGAAAAGCTTGAGATATTCACTGATGTTACTACAGAGGTTTTCCCCCTTTTCAAGTGGGCTCTTAACTCAATTACAAAAGAAAAGATGACTTGTCAGAAACCATTGCCCCTTAGCCATCAGGCTATTATGCCAGAAAGACCAGTGCAGTTACACAGGTGATTCGGAAATAGCAGAAAGGCAATGAAGAAATTAGGAAGACAATGCACATAACTTATAAGTTATACCTAAAAAGTTGTGTTAATAGTTTTGGATTGCCAATTTAATCGAAAATAACAATTATTCCAAATTTTCAAGATTAACAATTGATTCATCGATCATTGAGAGACTCATGATGCAATTTCTCTTTTGAGCTGATTTGGTCATTGGCTGAAGCCTAAGGAAGACAAACAGTAACAGACAGTGATGTAGTACTATAAGCTGCAATTCTAAATACCAGTGGAAAAAAGAAAAATCAATTAAAAACATGGTTATGAGTTTAGCGGTTGAAAGAAACTGGTGATAACTTGGATCAGAGAAAAGACTACCAAACAAAAACATAAAAGGTTATGAATAAAAGGAAGAAGAGTGAAGCTCAGGAAATGTAAAAACGAAGTTTTATAATAATTGAGTGTAAATCTTCACATAGAAAAAAAGAAAGAAAATAGAAGGAAAGTTAATGTAGATGGTAGTTGTAAAGTTTTTCCCTGCAAGTGCAAATCATATTGAAGCAGGCATGCAAGAGGCTAGTTCTACTCACTGTCGGAAGGTTTGCTATCACTTAGGAAAGGTTGCTGTTCCATGATGTCCATTGGAATTTTAATACTTGGAACTTTTTCTGAGTATGGGCAGTCAGACTGTGAAAGAAATTTACAAGTTTTTAGAAAGTTTTTACTATACAGCCCTTCCTACCTCCCAGTATTGAGCAAACCTATCATATTATCATTTCCATTGTACTAGGGAGAAAACGCACAGATACAATCATTTCCACTTAGCTAACTTTTCAAATTCTATACTATCTTTCTCTCTCACATTTGTTTTCCTCTCTTCTGAGTTAATGAGACTGAGTCAATTGAAATGAGACCCATACCAAATGGAGATCACTACAAATTAAAACAATTGTAAAGCTTTCCATAAGCCGGATTCCCAACTGGCAAACATTTATAGGTTTGTTGTACGTGTAAAGCAAACAATCTCAGGGTGAAAGATTAAATCTAGGAAACTTCCAAAACTGTAATACGGACTTGAAATTCTTGTTTCCTTTATGATTCTTGTTTCTGATTCTATCTCCAGGAAAATGATGACTTATCTTTCATTCCAAGACAGGCAGAAGACTTTCTAATATCAGCTATCAAAGAGCCTTCTATACATACTTGAAAATAAAGTCCTTTCTTTACTCTAATAAGCTATTATAACTATTTTATACTTAAAAGTTCATTTCAATTTGCTTGTACTAAAGATACTTGAAAATTTAGCAAAACGAGAAAAGGTCTGAAGGAAAGTGCCTATGATGGTCAGATAAGCAGAGATGAATTATAACCAGAATAAAATGATAAAACCAAGCCGCTAATCATGGGGCTGTTTAAAAAATAGGCCACCTAAACCAAAGCTGTGACAGATTTCCACAGAATTATGCCTTTACTTTTTGTTGTTGTTGTTGTTAGCATTCATTATATTGTATCCAAGTCTATGTTTGGACTGAAAAGATCAAATTCATCTCTTAACTGAAAGTACCAAGGGGATAACCTTTAGTTGAAAGAAAAAAATGGGAACTAGGGCGCAAAGAAAATAAAGAAAAAATAAATCTTAACATAAAGCCTACTACACACATTGAAAATTGCTTTATGGTGAATCTAAAGAGGGTAAGGAGACACAATAGTCCTTTAAAGGATTAAGATATTGTACTTAAATTGACCAAAAAAGAAAAATGAAGATGCCATATGCACCTACCTTTATGAGAATGCCAAGGACAGGTCTTATTACAGTATCTCAAACACTTCCCCAAATAATAGCATCCAAAGATGAACAGGTTGGCGGTCAACCCTTCATCATAGCCTGCCAGGCAGGTTCAAAAATGATCGAGTGACTCAATGTTGGCAAGACGTAATTTTCACTACTTCTGCTCACAAATACCCCCACATGTCTCCCTATATCCATGGACCCCATACCCCAGGATTATCACGTGAACATTAGGAGAGTCTCTTTAAATATAGAGCTTCCAAATAATGAGTTCAACTCACAAAACTTATTACATAGATATACTCTAAATTGGCTGGTTGGATTCACTGTCTAGGACACATATATAGCTGGGTTTTTTGTTTGTTTGGGGGGTGTGGGGGGGGAGAAGAGAAAGAGGAAAAGAAAAGAAAGAAGTATCACATTTATCTCCAAGAAATCTGTTGGAAATGTGGAGATGATAATGGTAAATGTCGTTAATAAAAGAATAGCATTGTTTAAATAAAATGTGATTTGTTGAAAATAGAATTTAAGAATTAGAAAACTTCTCAGAACTCATTGGATTCAACTTTTGATGCTAGAGAGCACAAAATTTAAAACATCCCCAAAAGTTGATATTTTATTATTTTTTTCTTAAAACCATTAGAGAAGAGGATTCCATAATATGACTGCATACATTTGTAATGTGTAATGAATTTTAAGTTTGGTGTACATAAATTGAGGTATTTGTTTTGAAAATTCAAGGTGAAGTACTGCTTTAGTTATCTCAATATTTCAGGCAGTCCTTTTTTTATTTTTTATCTTGAGTGCTCTAGAAATTTATTTCAAATTTTGATTTCTATTCAATGTGTAAATACATCATTCTTTTTTAATACTGCATCTTAATCTGTGCTGCACTTTAAACACATTCTCTCTTTTTCTTTCATCGTTGGAAAGAGAAAAATCTATATACCTGTTCTCACTGAAGATGGATGAGGACAGTCACAAAAGCTCCCTCAGACTATTTTCTCTTTAGCTAAATGTGCCTCGTATATTTAGCCTTTTCTTATTGGATCAATTTATCTGAAATCCAATTTTGTCTGTTGCCTTCCTTCACTGTACAATTTCCAGGTTCTCCAAAAAGAATACAATCAGACAGGCTGACCAATTGGAAATACTCAGACAGGCCTGAATTAGAGTTTTGCCTTTGCCACCTATGGCTGTGTACATTTAGAAAAATGACAACAATTCCTCAGTCTAAATTTCTTCATCTGTAAAATAGGAACAAAAATATATACTTTAAAAGCTGTTATGGCAATTAAGGACAAGTACGTATGATCAATGAAAATGATCAAGTACAGAGCAGACACGAAAAGTTAACTATACTCCTACTTTAGAATGGGATGTTGGGGATTCTGTTAGAATGGGGATACTGTACTGTGTAAAATCCAGAACAAATCTTCACATAGAAAATGTCATTTTGGCAGTCCCTTCACAAGGCTACTGGGATAAGCTGCTTGGGTGTATGTATGTATGTGTGTTAATGAAAAACAAATCCCAGCTTTTCTCCTAGCACTGACTACAGACTCCGATAGGAGTACCTCTATTTCTGTGAAACGGTTTCCTAAAGGAAAAAATAGGGAATAAATTTATTTCTCAACTTACTCAATTATAGAAGGATCATCTAGACTATGACCCTGACTACTACAGTTTTGTAAAAAGATCCCAAATTCCAATTTCCTTTCCTTTTTATTGAAGGGTTACGGAGACATAATCCCAAACCATGTCAAAGTCCAATGCGAGGATAAATCCAACAGCAGAGAACTTCCGCTGAGAGCCTACTCAAATAGATACATAGATCACAGGAGGTGAGGTCACTGGCATCTGTTCCTTTAAGTTTAAAATTATACAAAACTGAGTTATCTCAAATTTAAATCTTGGATTATCAGTAGCAAACCAAATACATTTTAGAGCATTACTAAGCAAACTTCCTTTTTATCGATGAGGATTCTTTAAATGAGGCGGGCTTTCTTTTTTTTTTTTTGAGAAGTCATTTACCACTATTAGTGTACTAATGGTTACAGAAAGACTTCAGAAAATGTAAAAAACCAAAGAGAGAAAATAAAGGTCAAAGGAAGGTAAAGAGCGACATGTAACACAGCCAGGTAACATTCTTGGAACTCAGCCATACATCTCACATAAGGAATAAAAAAATTACATTTTTTACATTTGTTTAGCTAGCTTTACTTCGGAATTTTAGAAAGCTCCTTACATCGTCATTGTCACTGTCCAGACTTCCTTTCTTCTTCTTCTTTTTCTTCTCATCCTCCTTCTTTTTCTTGTCCTTTTCTGGAATGACATCATCGAGGAAGCTGAGGTCATGCTGGGAGAAGAGGTAGTCCATGCCTTTTCTGACAGCTACAAGAGCCAAGATCTGGCAAGAGAAATATAAAAAGTATGAAAAATCATGTCAGATGAAGCCACAGTTAGTATTAATACTGTCCCATCAAAGTCAGTAGAAACTTAGTTTGTATAAGGCCAGAGTAAGACAGAACTCATCTTGCTCATATGGACTTACATTAAGTGGAGAAAGTTGGCTCATAAAAGTCTTAGTTGAAATTCGCTTTGTTTTGTTAACTGAAATGTATGATCACATTCAATTGGAATTTCAATGTAAAAGGATTACTTTTTAAACCATTTTCTTCCATGTCAGATTCTTTTAAAAAATAAGTAAAAGTTTAAAGGGAAAAATTACCCTACATATGATTTATAATTATTCAAAATTAAAACATTATACAGGTTTTTGAAAATGAAGAAAATCTGTACAACATATAGTACACTCAGACATCTTCAAAGTATTAATAATGAGGTAAGAGTTGAGTAAGCATAGACCATAGAATCTACTGGGTGACTTAAATCACTACCATTTAGCTGAATGCTTACCATGTGTCAGATGCTGTGCTAAACTCTTAGGCAATATTTTCTCATTTATTCCCACAACAAACTCAAAAAGTAGATATTATTATCTCCATCTTAATGCTGAAGAAACTGAAGCTGGGAGACATAAGTATGCTATCCAAGATCATGAAGCCAGATAAAGGAAGAATAAAAAGGGTCCCAGCTGTCTGCCAGTATTAAGAAAATCAGTATTCTTAAACTCTGTATCTTTGATTCTACGAATTTCTCTTGAAGAGTAACTTCTGAAGGTACATTCAAATGGCTTTGCTCAGTAGTAAAACTAGTATGCACTAGGATACAGGAGTCATGACTGTGCCTCAAATTAAACAGTTGTCTTTATCCACATCATGCTCGCTATATGTCAGTTTCTTCATCTCCTAGAGAAATTAATCACATCTGCCCTACTGATATTAAATGATTATTCTGTGACCAAATAAAAGCTCTGAAAAGATAAAAGTATTTTATAAAGGTACAAAATTTTTATTATTATTTAGCACAAGCAATAAGTGATTACTGGATATATTTCAAATTTATCGAAGTCTAACTTCATGTTTCCCGGTTTCAGCAAAACTAATAGACAGGTAGATTATACTAATAGGCAAATGGGAGTCATTTCTCACACTCAGTGTGTTTTCCAGTAAGTTAATGGAGTTTAAGAAAAAAAAGAGATATAAGGGATTGTCAAGAAAAAAATCTCACTCTACAAATATCTCTAGTAGTTCATATAAGTTTTTCCTGCTTCTCTGGAGAAAAATAATTACAAACAACAAATATACACAAAATAAAATAATAATCCTGACTAAGACCAAGAGAATTTTTATAAGAAATAAAATATGATTTGTATAAGAAAATTCTGTTTCCAAAGCTGTGGGGCAGACAGAGGAGAGCTGAGGCTGGCTTGGTGACTTCTCTCAAGTGCATGTAAGTGCATTTTCTTCCAAGAAATGAGGAGCTATGATAAAGTATAAAATTCAATGATGAAGCTGAACACAGAGCTAGGATTTCTTTTTTTCCTTCTTTTGCTTGTGATTCAGAGTGGAATGTTAGTTATTTACCTTGCTTCTCATCATAGCAAGGCAAGGATAGAGAGCCCAGACTTTTTTTTTTTTTGGTTGAGGAAGAGTGTCCCTGAGTTAACATCTGTGACAATCTTCCCCTAATTTGTATGTAGGACGCCGCCACAGCATGGCTTGATGAGCAGTGTGGAGGTCCACACCCAGGATCTGAACCTGCAAATCCATGTCCGCTGAAGCAGAGTGCGCAAACTTAACCACTATGCCACCAGGCCTGCCCCAACCAGAAGTATTCTTAAACTTAGTGTGATAGAAACTAGCAAGTACTTCAAAAACTGAACTTCTCACCCCCTTTCTTCTAATTCACTGGATGACCTCTCACAAGGTGCCAAACTAGTTCTCTGTTATTTTGACTGAATTGTGCTGTACTTTGTTATTTAGACTGATTCTATCATTCAACAGTATTTTTAAAATAACTAACATGCACTGGTGTTTACTGTGTTGGGCATTGTGCTGTACACTAGATATTCATTATTGATGCTCAGAATAACAATCACAATGCCATTCCCATTTTACTGATAAGTTGATGGCACCTCAGGGAGGTTCAATGACCAGCACGAACCAGAGCTGGTATTTGAACTCAGCTGAGTCTGACTGTAAGGCCCAGTGTAGACAACCAAAGACATAAGAACCTTAAATCACAACTGATCAAATCAAAGTGATTTGGTCAAAGCTGGAAAAAACTGGAACCACACATAAAAGACAGATGTGTCTTCCATACTGTAATAACCACATGATAATGGTGTGACTTCATGGGTAGGTTCAATTAAAGGAATCCCTACCATGACTGGAAAAATGATAGCAGCCACAGTTGACTTGAGGATCCAGAGCAGGGCCAGACACAAGACCTGCAGGAAAGTGAACAGGTGGACTCTGCGCAGGGGGACATGGCGCAGGTAGATAAAGTCGGGCTGATGCTTGAGGGGCATCAGAAGCAGCTTCAGGCGATCCATGAACTGCAGAGGAAAGGGGAAGGGAGCACAACCACGTTACTTCAAGAGCTGATACACAAAGTCATTTCCATTATGCCAACTGACCACTAGTGACTTATATTTCATAATTTAGGCAAGCAGTGTCCTTTTCAGAGGACACTGGTCGGACAGTGGAGAAATTTAGTCTAGCACAAGACACAGAACGAGTCTTCCAACTTTTGCTATTACTTTGCAGGAATGTTAGGCAGATATGTGAGATAGAGCGGCCACCAAAGAATAAAGTCACAAAGCAAAACATAAATTCTAGATGCTCCTCTCCTACTTTCTATTTTTACAGTGAGAGTCTCAGGAGAGAGAATCATTTGCCTACTTTAGTAATGATATGCTGAAGGAAGACATCTAACTCATGTATCTTACTCTGTCTCAGTTGTCTTATCTGAAAGAAGAGGAGATGTACTATGCTTCATATACATTTCAGGGACGTTTCAAGGATGTGAAGGAAGTATTTGACTTGAAAATGGGAATGCATTGGTATATTCATAAATTCCACACTATCTATGGCATAACTTAACTAATACATTCAGCAATGAATTACCATTTCTTTTCAGAGAAAAGCCACATGAATATTACAGTGAGTTTCAGAGTGTCAACAACTAGATATCTGAATCTATGAGAGGCTACGCCACTGTCATGTACAAACAGGTATCAAAATGACAGTTGAGCATCTACGTGCAAGGTGCTGGGCTTCGAAGACTAACTGCTGAGTTCACATTGATGATGATGATAAGGAGGATATTTAAGTACCTATTATAGGATTTTTCAGATGGAAGATGCTCAGTAAAGAGCTGCTAAATTGAATGTTATGTAATGAGAACTCTGAAATAACATCTCTACTTTCTTTCTGCAAGGAAGGGAGAAGAATAAAAGTACACGAGACGATCACAGACAATCTTCTCTGAAGTGATCTAAAGGGTTTTACTTCTCCCCCTGGAGCTATTTTTGACTGGTGAGGGCCTTCCCATTTAGGAAGATTGGGGTACAAAATTTTTTGCTAAATCAAATCTTGCCAAAAAGGTCTAAAAGAGGAAGAGTTAAGGGAAAAGTAAGGAAAAGAGAGAAGGCAATGGGGCAGCAGCATTGCAGAAGTTAAGGAACCCACTAGCTGTCCCTTCAGCAAGGGACATTCTCCCCATCATTATGAAATCACTGATTTGTTCCTTCTACTTAATTTAATAAACATGTACTGAGTTTCAACCATCGGTTACACACCTAGAACACATAAAATCAACCTTCTGATCTAGACTGACTTATTAAGGCCAAACAAAAATAAGAACTATTAGTTTGGGGGTCACATTAGTTTCATATTTTCACATTTAGGGGAATAAAGAATATTTACAATGTCAGGTAAAAAATAAAATACTTCTTACACATTTATACTTCCCAAAAGTTTCATGGGCACAAATAAACCCACATTCACATTCATCTAGTCCAATCTGTGAAGAACCACCTTTTATTTTGGAACAAATATCAAAATGGTGAAGAACTCTATTCAATGGGCCTAAACAAGAAAGATAAAACAGGCTTTTCTCTTTCTGGGGCTCTGGCCACTTGCCCAGCTCTATCTGACTCTAAAACCAAATTAATCTAAATTCAATAAATGAAAGCAAGGACTATTATGAAGGGGTTTAAATAAATTCTTATGATGTTCACAGAACATGAAGTCTTTTCCCATTAAAACATCACTAAGTGCTAAATAAGGCTACAATTAACAAGGTGCCAGAAAGCAGCAGAAGTACTTCCAGTTTCCTGGTGCCAATTAAATTAAACCTCAGTTGAAAGATAAAGTCCCTCACAAAGTTTTCCCTAATGATTTTTTTAAAAGGGGGTCAGTTTTACCCAAGTTGTGAATAGCTGAACTTTTCAACCAAAGTAGCACATAAACCACACTGACTTTATTCTTTAATTGGTACAAAACTTTTGCTCATCGATCTCAGCCATGTGAAAAGCAAATCAAGTAAGAAGAGCATGTTCTTAGAATAGGGTAAAGGCAAACGGATAAATAGTACCTTGAGAAGCACACTGAAAGGGTAAGATTTCCTTTTTGAGACAAAAAAGAAAGAGAGAGAAAAAAAAGACAGAAAGAGACAGAGAGGGAGGGAGGCAGGAAGGGCAAAAGGGTGGAAGGGAGGAGGGAAGGTAGATCATAGTTCTCTCTCTTTCCTAGCCAAATAACCTTTAACGACCTATTTCAAGAATGGGTAGGTATGAGAACATTTGTCAATGCAAGCTGACTTTGTTAATTAAGTCAGAAATGAAAAGCAGGTGAACGGTGGAGAAAGTAGAAAATAAATGCATTTTAAAAACTCAGAAGTTAATGATAAGCACTTTTCTTCAAAGATCTATTACTGGACTGTTTTTACTACTAGAAAAACATGACTATACTGAGACTGCTATGGAAAACTTACCTGCACACCATTCAGGGATGCTACCCCCATATACAGGAACACGCCATAGAGGACAGGCATGGGAATAAACTAGGAAGGAAAAAAAAATCGGGGAAAGGTTAAAACCATAATAATAACAGTAATGGAGGGGTAGTTTAAATAAGGGCTAATCTGAAACTAAAAGATAGGACAAAATAATATAGTGACCTCTAATTACAGTGCTTTACTCATCATTGATAAACTTTTAAAACCTTGGTACTAGAAATAAATGAAGGAGTGTGGAGACTTTCCATTTTTATTTGATGCCTATTTGCATTTTTTTTTACAATGAGCATGCGTGATCTTAATAATAACTTTTTTTTAATGGGAAAAAAGTTTATTTCCCTTTCCCTTTAAAATGAATGACTATGTAAACCAGATGCTGGTGCGGACTGTGAGGTAGAAAGAGGTAGACAGACAGCTGCCTCACTCCTGAGACCAAGTTCCTTTCTCAACGGTCTGTTGATTTTTTCCTTAATAATTTTTCCAAAATGATCTATCAGCTTGGTGTGTAAATGCCTCTTTCAATTAAGTAAACATCAAACGACCATCCCCTTTCTTCCTCTCAGGAATATTAAGAGAACTAACTAATGAGCACCTGCTTGAAAGGAGCATCGAGCATCTGGAAGCAATTAATTACACACTTGGATTAATACACATCTTTCAAAACTGAATTAATACATTTTCATGCATTAATTAGCGAAAGCCTTTTATATTAATACAAAGTATTTTAACAATGGGAAGTTCCAAAGTGATGCTCGTAAATTTTCTCTCTTCCTAGACCTTTGAAATGTCCCTAGTACTGCAAAAACTAAGCAAATCAAGGATGATTCTTTTTCTGGGAAGTCTTCTGTCTGGACAACAAAAGGTTCCCAGGTCTGGATTTTGAAAAGTTCAAGTAATTTCAGGAGATTTCAAAAACCACAATCAATTAAGTCCAATCTTATCAAATCTACATAAAGAAGGCTATTGTAGCCAGAAAATAGTATGACTTTAGAGTAATTTTTAAAGAACTCTTACACGTATTAAGGGAAGCACAACTTCTATCAGCCTCTCCTTGTAGTTAGCTAACACAGCTCTGTATCTGAGAACCGTTGGCCACTACTGGAGAAATAATAAATTCCAAAATGTGTTGAATGTCTCTAATTGTTATTGGTTAGCTATAGGAATCGTTAAATTTATATGGAATAAATATACTTATTTATATAAAACATCACATGCTTCTTCTAAAAGAGACTAACAGTTTTAACATAGCTAATTTGATCTTGAGCTCAGAAGAAAATAAATGACATCAAATATTGAAGGGAGTGTGAGGGACAGTGTGAGTGGTGGGGAAGCCTTGTGTGCTGTAATACCCAACAGTTACCACAAAGAGGTGAACACATCACATTTAAGCCACTTGAATTCTGACACGTGCCTTTATTTCCTTTAGAATGTGCATATTTCCATTCCTTACAATCCCTCTTTACAAATTTACTAAAAAATAAAAAAAAATGAAACTAACAAAGGGGCCATTTTATAACTTTGACTCATTTGTTAATTTTTCAAATATCTTTTGCAGGCAAGAGCACTCTCATCTTTCTTTAATATATAATGATTTCTTTCTTGTCATTTTTCTCATTCCTTGGGAAGAAAAGAAAGGTGGAAGGAGGAAAGAGAAGTATAGTTAATGGGAAACTAGTTAGAAATCCTATAAGTTACTTTTTAATCTGAGTAAAGTGTTTTCTGGCTTGAAAGATAGTAATCATAAAGGTGAACCCGGGGCTTTAGCTCTGCCCCTCACCTAAGTTTAGGTAAGTATCTTCTCTAGAGTGAAGGAAAGTTGTGCCTTGGTGCTTAGGTCATTCTCTCTGAACATAAAGTGACAGATATGATTGAATCTACCACAAAATGAAATCAGAAGGTACTATTAACTTAGAAGGGGTATGGGTAAGAAAACAGCTTTAAGATATGATGATGTTTTTAAAAAATTATTCTTTGGTGAAAAGGAAATAGCACATACAAGGAAGGCTATTAATTCGATTTTTGGCCAACTTCAATGTGATACAAATGTCTTATGAAATTCACCATTTTCTTTATGATAGTGCAGTGTCTTAATAAAAATCTTCCAGTTTGGAAATCTTGATGAAATCTGACCAGTTACTAGGTTAGGGGATATTTTCTATTAGATTTGGTTATGAATCATATCAGAAGGTCAGTCCTTAAAAATTCATCATAATGGAATCATTCACCACAATAGAAATTTCCCAAAGGAAGGAAAAGAAGAGATTTGTTAAAAGATTGGATCCTATTTTAAGTTAAACTAGTATAATACGCATAGTAATAGCAGGTAGACATTTTTATAAAGACAGACAGCAGAAATTAAAACATAAAAAACACAAGGTATACTAGGTTTCTAGCCATATCAAGAATTGCCAAATGATAAAATTATTCAAAGAAAATTATATAAGCAATTATACCCAGAAAGTCAAAAAAAGATTATAAATATTATAATGCTTTTAATTAACATCAAAAATGAAAAACTTAAGTGTTTGATCCTACAACCAGATAGAATAATGAAATTGAGATGAAGTCAATGAAGATTTAACATATTCAGACTGTGTCACCAAGTTTTTCAAATTCTGGTAAATGTAGTTCCACTCTTTTTCACTTATCCCTCCCTTTGATTTTCTGATAATGTTAGAATATTCCCATAAGAAAAAGAATGCAAAAAGGGTAAATTTAATAAGAAAGATAGATTTTAGTCATCCATAGCACAGAATTCAGTACAGGAGTGAGTCCTCTCAGCAGAACAATAGGCATTGTGTGTGTAAAACCCAGAATGAGGAACTGATTAAGAGCATGGGCGTAGAAGTTACAGACCTGGGTTCCAAGTCTACCTCTATTTGTTGTGGAACCCAGAGAAAATTTTCAACTTCTCCTATCCTCAGTATTCTCATCTATATTATGGTTATAAAGATAAAGATTACATAGCACAAAACATCTAGTTTAGGGCCTGGCTCATTAAGATACTCAATAAATGATAAATGTAGTATAGATGTCATTATTATCATCAGGACCCTCACTGGCAAGTCAGAAGGATACAGCTGCAAAGCACAACTCTTTTTGGTCCCTCTGTGGTGGGGGCGGGAGTGGCAGGAGTATAGGCCATAAGGAGGGTTGCAAAAGTCAGATTTGAAGGCTTGGCTTTATTTAAGCTCTACAATATTGCCCTTTTAACTATAACAACTGTCTTCAGGAACATGTTATTAAAATAATATCCTACTGCCCACAAGCCTTAAAAATCTGAGCCCATAAGGAAGCTCCTGACTTGCAATCTGCTCCCTAGTCATTGAAGAAAACATGGAGGGAGGTATGAGGAGTTTGTGACAATGCCACATTTCTCTCTACATAAGAGATTTGGAAATTGGTTCAAAGAAACTGTGGAAGATCACCTCATGGGAAATGAAAGTAAATGAGTTCTTTGAGAGCAAATACAATTTTATTTTAAAAGGCAGTAATCTATGATGGTTACGAAATCAGTCTTTGGAGTCAGAACTGCCCGAGTTCAAATCTTGGCTCTACCATTTAAGAACTTTGTGATCTGTTAGGTTACTCATAATTTTTCTTATCTGTAAAATGGATAAAATTATAAGTAAATTTTTCATAGGTGTTATTGGAGAACTAAAAAAAAAAATTGGTGCAGAGGCTTTAGTCCAATGCCAAGCTCAATAAATGAGAGCTAGCAGGACAATCATCATCATTATCATCATCATCATCTTCTTCACTATCCTGTCTCCTTGTTTCCCTGTGACTGAGCAGAGTGTGTGGCATATTGTAGGAGCTCCGCAAATGTCTGACAAATAACAAATTAAATGCTCTCCTCCACATTTTAGAACACTAAACAAATCTGAAAGATAAATTTTGGTCACTCCTCATGTTAAAGATAAACTAATTCAAGCAAAGGCAACAGAAGTAGCAGTGAAGTTTATTTGATCTTTATTTCTTTAGGCTTGCCAGAAGAATGGAAAAAGTAAGCTCAGGAACTGCCTTTCATCTTTTTGCCGCTCTTTGGTCTCCCCTCGTCTCTCCTTACAAAACACTAGTTTCACAGGCAATATTTCCGCTGCAGAAACACAGATCTAAACTGTTTAACCAGCCTGGGAAGCCAGTTATTCCTGCTTCTCAACAGCTGTGTACTGAATCAGCGGTGAGATGTGAGGCATGTACGACTGTAGCTGGCTAAGGTCAAGGGGTATCCTCATGAACTTAAAGTTAGTACACTATGATTCCTTACATTCTTCCATGAAAAAAGATAAATTTTGGCAAAGAGATCAAAACAGAGGTCATGAACTTCATGTTCAAAGTAAGGCTGCATAAGTAGACATGGGGACCAATTACCTATACTGCTTAATGCATGGGAGAAAATTACTAGAATCATCTGAGGCCACTAAACTTGTGAGGGATACAGGGAGCTGGACAAGTAAGGTGTTAAGCCATTTCATTTTAAAAAGTAGAAGTCACATATTTCTCTTGATCCCATCCATTTCATCTGCCTTTCAAAGCCAGACTCTTAAGGAAAATCATTCTCTAAAGTTCTCACCTGTTTCTTTAAAACACTCATAGTCACATGATGGAGGACAAAGTTTCCCTCCTCGAAGGTAAACCCTGATACCACTTTCTGTGTGAATTCTGCGGTTAATTGTTAATCTTGACTTCTACTTAGTCACAACTTAGGTTTTAGTTCAACTGTACCCTCAACATCTGCTTCTTGTATTGACTTCTCAAATGAGCTAACGTGGGCTCTCTGGTAAATGCACATAATTACCCAACTTAAGTGGCAAGAAGGACAGATGATCTGAAATTAGCTGAAGAGATTCCTGAAGTAAAGAATAGCCCTACTTACCGAAGCAAGGAATCACAATAGTTGACGCTAGACTATTTTATTCTTGTTGTTTTTAAATCTAGGTTTCCCATAATATGTTGGAAAGCATAATAAGAAAACAATTTCATTTCCCATGTTTGGGGCAAAACCTTGCCTAACACAAACGTTTGCTGGACTACCTTTTTAAATGATTCTTACAATGACTCTTTGCATTGACCCAAAGTTGCCAGGAGGAAATAGCTACAATTATGGACATTAGCAGCTGGATGACGGTGAGGCAAAGCATAGTTACTTAAGGAAGGTCAAAGGAAAAGCAGCTCGTGCTCATTGATCCCTTACATCTCTTTCTCCTTTCTCTTGGGATTCTAATCTGTTTCTGTAGATACTAAGGTACTTTGTGTACCAGGGGTAAAAAGAATGCTTGTAAAATAAAGAACAAAAGGACTTTCAGCTTTAACTCCTCCGTAGCCATATTTGTGTGCAGAGTGACAAAACAGTTAGGAAGAGGCGTTGCTGAAAATTTGAGTCTTGCATCTCTTCCTAAAAATATCCATTTATACACTATCTGTTCTCTGTGTCCCTTTGGAATCAAATGTGATTACTCAGCTGACAGATACTCCAAGATTAAAGCCAATTTGCTGTAACAACAACAAAAAGAACTTTTAAACACATCTGATTTTTTGGAATTAGGATTTATACTATATTAATGAAAAGAAATAATATAAAGATAAAAGAAAAAATGGATAGGGAGTGATGAGTACATTCAAACTGATGGGACTATTATTGTCTATCTATCCCTTCCTAGTGGCTAAGCACTAAGAGATCCCATAAAAGAAAGTGCAGTTGTGTCACGAGAGCCCACCCTGAAGGGAACCCAGGGCAAATTCATTCCTTGTAGGGCCTCCCACAGCATGAGGTCATTACTGCCTACAATGACCTCTCTAAAAATTGATCTGTCCAGATGAGGTTCCACTACCTGTGTGGTAAAATCTGTCATTAGACTTTTCTACCAGCTGATAAGCTGATGTCTATGGGGAAACAGAGGAACATAAAGCATTTTGGTAGTGGTTTTGATGCTGTGAAACTCACAACTTTGAACCTACCTCATAACTTGCTTTGCACTGGCAAAAGTGACAACAGATTTCCCTCTGTCCCTACAGAACACAACCGTACTCTTTTAAGGTCCTCTGTATGTAACCAGACACAACTTCTTTGAGGTTATTTTTAATTTAACTTCCTCATGTGTTATACGAGATAACATTCTTTCATGATTCCAGTCAGAAATTAAACCAGTTAATTGACATTGTGGAAACCAAGGACAAAAGATGAATATTTAAATCTTTTAACTGTTTATCAAGTATTTTGTGCATAATGTATGCATTAATCTGAAGGCAAAGTCAGTCTTAGCTATAGGTTAAGAAATTACGGTTCCACTTTCCTCAAATTCATCTGATCAGCACTTGACGTATAAATTTGGTAACGAGAGAAATGGAGGGTTTCTGCCTTCACTATCTGTGCTTTTGTATTGTTTGAATTCTTTATAAGAATGTATTGCTCTGTAACTTGCATAATTAAATGAACATTTTAAAAACCTGAAAAATCAAAATTGTTTCAAAATAAAAATTTTCAGAGAAAAATCTGGAACGATATTGTTAACCGCAGTTGATTATAGCTGTTAGGTCTACAGGTGATTTTCGTGCTTTGTTCTGTGATGAAAGGCGTAAGATACAAATTAGCAATAATTGGCTAATATTGTTTATATAATGGGAAAAAGAATAACATGCTTATGTCACAAAAGAAAATTGGAAGCTTCATGACAAGTATATACTAACCTTCTTTTTTAGTCTTATCTCTGTTTCTAAATAGGTTTTGTTATATAGTTTATATTTATCTATTTAGGCAGATATTCAACCCATCAATTAAACCTATGTATTGACTCCTATATTGATGTGATAGATTTCTAAATAATCTATCACATCAGTTTTCTTCCTCAAAGGTTCATTTCTAAAGTTTTCCAGTTATATATCAGTCATTTTACTCTATTCTCCCTTTGTGGATATTAGCCTTCTGATTCAAAGAAAACAGAAACACAGTCAGCAATAATTAAGAATAGGAGAAAAATTACAAAATGATCATTCGGAGTCATTCATGTTATCCAGGAGTCCAATGTGAAGAGGCGGCAGGGTTTAGGGACAAGTAAATAGAAAGTGATGGGAAGAAAGGATGTAGGGAAACTAGGAGAGTAAAAACTGTGGGGGGAGGGGAGATCAGTTAGACTGAATTGTATCAAACTCTCATTTGCATAGGTCAAATAGTTTGAATATTGGTAAGTTAATATGGTTCAATGAAATAACTGCAATAATAATAATAATAGTAATAATAGAAGGAGTGAAGGAGTGAGAAGGAAATCAAGATAAAAGTTTTTTAAAGTCCTCATTCTACCTGAAACCTGCTTCAGGGTGCTCTAGAATGGATAAGATATTGAGATATTTCATAAGGACGTCATAAGGAATTCTACTCTTCATACATCCAATTATCTGTCAGTATTCTGAGGAGGAAGAGGCAAGTATTACTCATATTTACCTTCAAGATGGGAGCCATAAAGACTGACAGACCAGTCAGAATAAACACAAGGGTTCCCGTGACTCTTTGTTCCCTGAAACCAAATCAAAAGATTACCAATCTACCCCTTATTTTCATAAACATGATTTTGTCTTTTCACCTTCAAAAAATACTATATATTGACTGAATCAACCTTTGGCTAAAATAGCAAAGGTGTTGATATCATATGTAATCAATACCTCAAGGATAGCATATAAGCTCAATATGACCACAAAATTCTCTTAAAACTATTGCAATATGTGATTTGAATTCATCAAAAGAAAGTGTTTCTGCTAAATTCTTTGCTCCTTTTAGACTTAAGAAAGAAAAAAATCACTTTCTCTTGGTCCATCAATTACTGGCCTCCTTGAAGCCCTTATTTTTTAAATAACTTGTACTGTTGTGTAATTACACCTTCTTTCACAGGAGACAGATATTACATTGTCCCACATTCTAATTAACAAACAGCTCAGGGAAATTCATAAGTGCAATAAATCCCATCAGTCTTATTTCCAAATCTACAACAACAAAAGTACTTTTTAACAAATATGATTCCCATACAACACCCCCACCTCCAGCCCCCAAGAAAGAATCACCCAGTGTTGTGGCGTGGGAAACGATGGCTCTGTCATGTGAGCTATTCATCCAACCACTTAGGACCAGGGTTTGCTGCACAAAGTATGCAACAGTGGATAAAGGTCTGGTATAAGGCCTTCATGGCTACCCAAATTAGCAGCTGGAGGTCAAAGTTTCTCAATGCTTATGGGGACAGAAAATAAACTGGAAAATAAGAACTCTTTTCCCTTCATAGACTCTTAAACATCATAAGCAGACTCAAGACTTTTAGGGAGTCTCAATAGAAATAAAAGATCAAAAGGTTTGGCCTTTATATATGATTGTGACAGAGTAAGTACCACTGCGCTAAAATATCCTGCAAAATGAATGACCTGGTTGCATTTTTACGTTGCATCATTTAGCCTTTCATTAATCAAAGGAGATTTATGTGTTTATGTATATAATTTATGTATCATAAGAAGTGAACTCAAAAAACTATTGTAGACTCTCTTTCTGAAGAAAACGTAGTCTTTTCTTGAACAGTAAGCACAGGAATAAGTTTATCATCACCAGCCCTTTCTCCTCCATACCTGCCCATTTCCTTATGACTGACACATAGATGTGTGCCTGAGGTGTTTTGCAGAGCTGTTTTCCTCTGACTTAACATACCTTACTCCTAGAAACTTTGGTTGTTCTCCAGGTGCAGAAGTCTCTGTCTCCATCTTCAAACTGTCGATGTGAGCAATAGAGATGACAGTAGCAGCCACATACCATGGGAGAGCCATGAAGGAGCACACCACCATGAGGATGGCCACCCAAAAGAGATCTAGGTGATACCCAGCTCCTTTCTGTAGAAAGAGGTAACAAAACTATGTAGAAAAAAATACTCATATTTCTATATCATCATATTTCCAGATGGGAATTAAGATTACCAAAAGAAACCAACTCACTTTGCTTGATAGAAATATCTACTACAAGGTAAGCTCCTTGAGGGAGGGGACTTCATCTTCCTTATATGATTCCCCTACCAATTAAACACAAAGCTGCCACATGATACCTCCTCTAGCTTGATTCAAGTCATAGCTAACTTATCATTTGTTTACGTTAATTATCTCTCTGCATTCAATTCTGTAATCAGAACAATGGAGATATATGTCTACCTTGCAGAGTTATTAGGACCAGTCACTGAAGTAACAGAGGCAAAGCCTCATGCAGGAACTTAGTAGTGGTATTGCTGGTGGTTGTTAACATCAGTGCAATAAGCACCTTAAAAGCAGGTACTGCATCGCCTTCTCTGCTTGACTGTTTAGCAGGATGCTGTTCAGCTAGATTCAGCATATGCAGACTAAAGATCTGAAAGCAACCTTGAGAAGATACATAGAAGACCATTTCTCACCTTTCATAGTATATAAAAATAATTGTTTAACAATCTATTAAACATTATCATTAAGGTAATTAATATCCCCTTAGTCAGAAGAGGCTGATTTCAAACATTGCCCGATGGTCGCAATAACATTTACTGACTGGAAGAGTAGACAATTTAACAAAAGGTCTAGCTCTTTTACTCACTACATAAATATTGCTAAATGTGTCCACACTGTTATTCTATGGTTATATTTCTCTGCTCTATTTATGAAGAAATCAAACGCTTAATACCCCTATGGAGCCAGAGAAAATAGAGCAGTCCATTTCCACAGCATGGAAGCAGCAGCATTAAGAGCCAGAGTATGACCAATCCAAGGGAATGCAGAGGTTGGCTTTAAAAAGTAAGAATGCTATTTACACTAGGAACCCAGTGCCTGTTATCCTACAGATCCTATTACAGTTAGTCAGAACCCTGTTCTCTTCTTGCTGAAATGCCAAGATTTCACCCCTGGCTTGCACACATGGGTGTAATCACGTTCTCAGAGCACTCATCACAGGCAAGAGTAGCTGACACAAGGAAGAAAAGCATGTATTTACTAAATCCAAGTTTGGCTGAGAATGAAAATCTCCTTGGGAGACAAATAGGTTAATATATTTTCAAAAAAACAGTTCATTTCAGCATAAATGGTTTGAAAGCATAAGGGTTTGAACTGGGAGTGGGATAAGATATGGGAAGCAGGTGAAAGGTGGGGATGAGCTGAAATAAACTTGTTGACTAGTGACTAATGTGGTGAATATCATGATATATCTGTGGTCTCAGTTACTCGTTCTTTCAACAAATATTGACTGCCCATTTATTAACAGACACGATTCTAGGTGTTGGTGATATATTTGTGAATAAAATAGACAAAAATTCCAGCATTCACGGAGTTTGCATTCTACAGAGGGAGACAACAATAAACAACATAAATAAGCAAACTATACAGTATCTTACCTAGTAATAAGTACTCAGGAGAATGATAAGAACTTGGGCTTATATGCTGAGTACAACAGGAAGCCATTGGAGGGTTTTAAACGGAGGAGGGACATGATTTGCTTATGTCCTAAACACTATGACTGCTGTGTTAGGAATGGACTGAAGAGGGTCAAAGACAGTAAGATCAGTGAGGAGATTGCTGCCATAATCCACGCAAGAGATTCTGCTGGTTAGAAGCACAGTGGTAGCAGTGAAGACAGCAAGAAGTGGTTGGATTTTGGTTATATCCTAGGTGTTCAAGGCTTACAATGTGTAGTATAGTGTTCTATATACATAAATACTAGAGACATATTTGTTGAACAGAATAGTAAAGCCTATGCTCAAAAATTCATGGTGCCCCAATTATTGCCATAAAGACCCCAGAACCCAAATGGGTTATGTTAGAGAAGTTGTACCTGCAAAACAAGCCTACATATATGAAAACAAACCACTTCAAAGATGTCTCTCTTAGCTAAAAGTATATGAATAACTAGATTTGAATGGAATGAAAATAATATTCAAATATTGGTGCTTCTTATGGAAATAATACTGTAAGAAATATAAAATACCAGCATTTTTCTAAAATAACATGTGAAATCTTTTGTTCCTTACTGCCACTGCCTTTTTTCAGATTCTTATAATTTCTCACCTGGATTACACAGCAGCCTCCTGATTGCTCCCCCACCCCCACCTCCACTCTTGCACCTCTCCCATCTATCCTTACTGCTGCCAGAGTCAGTGTCTACAATACAGCTCTGATGCCATCCATCCAGGCTGGAATGTTGAGGGAGCAGAGGAGGTCAGTGGGAGACGAGCAAGCCAAGCAGGACAGATCAGGTCATGAGGAGCCCTGCTTGCCATCCTGAGGCTTCTGCATCTGAGTCTGTCAAGAGGCTCTCCAGGATTGTTGAAACTCCACTATTCCCTAAACATGCCTTGTACATCCTGCATCACTCTTCAAACTGGCATTCTACTTCTATGTCTTGACATTTGTTTAAATCCATCCTCTCCCTTCAAGGTCTAGCTCAAATCCCCCCACTTCCTTCACATGACCAGCAACCCTTGGTCCTCACTGCTGCTCTCAGAAGTTCCTGCTTTACTCTTGTTCCTGACAACCCACTCTCCTCACAGAGTAATTGTTTTAAAACCTCAGTCATTACATGGTACTTCCCTGCTCAAAACCCTCCAGTGGCTTCCTATTTCACCTAGAATAAAACCTAAATACTGTGAAATCATCCATAAGGTTCTATATCAGTGTTTATTCATGGAACTAAATGTCCAGGGGACATTTGACAATATCTGGAGACATTTTTGGTTGTCACAACTCGGGGAAAAGGTGCAGCTGGCATCTAGGGGTAGAGGCCAGAGATGCTGCTAAATAGCCTACAATACAGAGGACAACCATTACCAAGAAAGAATTAATCAAAATGTCAATAATGCCGACGTTGAGAACCTTTGTTCTTACGTTATCTGGTCCCACTCTCTTTGACCTCATTTGAACCACTAATTCCCTATGTTCCAGTCACACCAGCCTGCTTTCTGTTCCTCAACACGACAACCTCCTTCCCACCCTGGGGCCTTTGCTTTTCCCCATATCTTTGCTTGGAAAACTATTATTTAATAAATATTCATTGAACATCTACTCTAGGCTAGGCCTTGTGTTAAGATAAAACAATAAATAAGACAGAACACCTGCCCTTGGGGGTTTACAGATTATTAGTTGAAGCCAGATATGGAAGCAAATAATTTATTGGATGTGCAAGATACAAGATATAAAGACAAGCAAGGTCAATTTCAACCTTGGTGGTGGAGATGAGTGGTAAAGAGGGAAAATCCACTAAACTCCTTCAGGGCAGAGACCATAACTGAGAACAATTTTTACCTTTAACATCTAACACAAGTGTTCTGTACATAGCAAGGACTCAATAAATGTTCAACAGATTAAGTATGTCCTTTAAAGTTTAAAAAAGGCCTTGTCTTCATGAATATAAATCCAAAGGGTGTTCCTGTTTCTGAAACTAGAGATTATTTTAAGTATGGGGATAGGAAGTGAAACTTTACTTCATTTTGCTGTTGTATATATGCTTTGCTAATACAGAACAAATCACTTAGGAATAAATCCATAGAAACCAAAATCCATGAGAGAAAAAGACTAGCCTAACAGTCTAAATTTATGTCTAGAAATACATGATAACAAAGGGGTCAGGAGCAGTATACACACATGTGCAGACACAGAAAAACCATTCACGCTAGGAGCCCCCCATGATCCAGACAATAAGCTGGTTTATGGGGATACCGAGAACCATAACATAGTTCTTCCCACCAAGGGGCTCCCAACCAGATGAGGGGACTCAGACTTGTGCACAAATTATAATCAACTTCAAATAGAGATTCAAAGATGTTCGAAAAGACACCTAAAAGTACAGAGGACAAGGTGTTTAACCCTGTCTAGAATGAACCCACAAAAACTTCCTGCAGTGATGACATCTGAATGGGGCTTTGAATAACAGAAGCACTGGCTCTGAGAACTGGCGATGGCTTGGCATGTTTTTCAGTCATCACCCACCTGACACAGTGCAGCAACTCCGAGAGTCACATGGCCAAAGATAACAAAATCCTTCAATATGGATTTTTTGAGTCTACCATATGGAAATCAATGTGAGGGGCCACATGAGAGCTGGAAAGAAGACTAAAACATGGCCCTTGCTTTGAAAATGTTTTTGCCCAGAAAAGGAGATAAGGTAATTATGCAAAAGAACTACCACACAAGACATCGTGTGCCCAGTGCCACAGAGTAATACAAATATACTAAAAGCAAAAACAAGAGCAACAGAAATTATGTTAGGAGTGAAGGCTACTTTGACAAATTTTTATATTTGGAGGATCTTAAGGGACGGAAGGATTTTGATGTGGTAGTCATTGGGGAGTAGAGAGGAGAGTTGGAATTACAACCAGAAGAGGCTGCTAGATTTGAGGAGAAATCAGAAATCCACTTGATCAGAGCATTCTATTGTAGAGAGAATCATTTTAAATTTAGGTTGAGATCATATCACAAAGAGACTCAAATTTCAGGCTAAGGCTTATTGACATTCTTCACAGGCAAAAGTTTAAACAGCCAAGGTGTAAAAGTTTAGAAATACAAGACTGACATATAAGAACAGTGCTTTAAAAAAGTTACTGCTTTTGGGATGAAGTAAGGGAGACTGGTTATTAACTCAGGGCTAAACGGTGAGAATAGTCTAGACATGAAATAAAAGGACTGGATCTAAGGTTAGGATAAGGCAGGAATAGAAAGGAAAAATAACAATGGCAAATTTTGGAGTTATCCAAGAAAGCACACTCGAATTAAGGGTTTTACCATAGAGGGTATCAGGGAAAATTTATTGCTACAACCACTTAATATCTATTTCTAGATGCCTATCCTAAACTACTTCTCCCTCCCACGCCCTATCTATAACACTTAAAATC